TGGTAGGGTTCCAAGTTCAGCATAGTATAAAGCTTCCTTCTAAACGCCCCACAACCCCAACGAAGTCAATGCCTTAACGCCTCCAAAATTGCGCAAAATCGAAAGAAGAACCCTACAGACCAAAAACTCTACTTAAGCCCTAAACATCCTGCTGCACAACCCTGGCCGCCCAAGCGACCCGAAATTCTTGGTTTCAGGGCCCCAAGAAAAATCTAAAGCCGCGAGAACAGGTTGCTAGCCCTAAACTCCGAAGCCCCACTACAAAAAAAAGTATGAAGTCGCCAACCCCCCGCCCCCCGCCCGCAAACAAAGACGCATCCCCAAGCCCCCCCCCCCAAAAAAAGGAAACAAAAAACGAGCTGCTGGTAAGAAGTGAAAAGAAGGTCAGGCAGACATAGTAAAACGACCACTTTAGGCTCGTAGCCCGCTCAAGGCTCATTCAGATGGAGCTGTGCCTTGGCTCCATATTGTTCTTTTGGGTTTAGGATCCCTGGCGTACATTCCGAAGAGTCGAGGGTTTTGGGGTTAAGGTATCTAATGCCTTGTTTTTTTTTCGAGGCTATGTTATTTCTTTCCTCGGACTAAACCAGGGGTCCCAGTATCTGTCTGGGACGGTGATATTGGAGTCTCTGCGCTCTGGCAGACTCTGGCAAGCCTGAGACCGAGCCTATCGCCAGGTTCATGGGTCGCAACCAGTGAGATGTACACTTCCCCTACTTATGTATACACAAGTTCACCCCTAAACCCCAAACCCTAAACTCTAAACCCTAAACCCTAAGCTCACAGCCTCCTGGAAAAAGACACCTCTCTCGGTTCCGAGGCCGGTTAGCTTGCTGACAGCTCTCTTCCTCATCCTCTTCGGGGCTGCTGGGCAACGGGGGCTTTGGAGGGTGTGGGGCTTTATAGGGTTTATTAGGGGTTTAGGGTTTAGGGTTTAGGGCTAGGGTTTAGGGTTCAGGGTCTCCTAAGCCTTGACTGTATAGGAGCCCTAGAAACCGCAAGCCATAGGGTTTCTAGCTAGTGAAAGTGTCGCGCCGGTTTCTTCCTGTCAGTTCTGACCGATTATGTAAATATGGAGGGGAAGGGCGAAATAGGGTACCGTACCATCTGTGGGGTGTTCCTACTAGAGTATGGAAGATATATTGGGGGGTTGCTTCACCGAAATCCACTCGAGGTCAGATGAAGGATCCCCACATTCACTTTCTTCCAAAGCCTATCCTTGTCGTGGCTTAGTTTAGCACCTTTTGGATTTAGGAGCCTATCCTTGTCGTGGTTCAGTTTCGGACCTTTAGGATTTAGGGTATTTAGGCACCTAACGACCCAAGCGTTAAACCTTCGATCTAAACTCATAGCTGTGCAAGCTCCCCTCGCACGCCGGTTTAGGGTTCTTGGCTTAACTGAGGGGGTTTCAAAGTGCCTGCCGAGCTATCGATCAGAGGTGTGCTTGCCTTCAAGGAATGGCCTTCTTTCGGGTTTAGGGTTCATTGGGTCAGGGTTTCGCGCCCAGTTGGGCATGTACCCCGACTGCCAAGGCTCTGAAAAGCACTATACCCTTAGCCTCAAAACACCCCAGAACCCAACTTCTTAGAGGCTCCAATGGTCCAACATCCCTCAAGGAATGTTCCTTGCGTAACAGTTGCCATCCGCATGTGATTTGCATATTCCTTTTGATTTCAGGAGCACGGGAGCATTCAGTGTACCTTCAACCCCCTTAAACCCAGCCATGCGCTTTGCAAGAAGTGAGGGTCTACATATGTCAGTCTAGTGTTTGTGGCTGTGGGTTTTAAATAGACCGGCTCACAACCTGAGGCTGTGGTGTACTCCATTGCCTGCACACTTCTGGGAAGGATTCCGGCACCTCGGATGCAAGCTGAGCCAGTTGGCTGTTGGTCAAGCCTAACTGTAAGCCTTAAACTTTGAGTCCTATAGGCTGGATCCTTCCATCTCTGGGACGTGAGGCTTCCCTAGACCCTAAACCCTAAACTCTAAACCTTAAACCCTAAACCCTAAACCGACAATTCCCGGGTGTGGAGGATGGTTTGGGCGCGGTCTCGGACATGACGAAACGCAACCTCGGGCGCGGATGAGCAGCGGGGGCGGGTTGGTTGTGTGGGTTTAGGGTTTAGGTTTAGGCTTTCGGGTTTAGGGTTGAGGGTTTAGGGTTTAGGGTTTAGGGTTTAGGGTGGACACCCTGCATTCTTTCCTTTTTAGAGGCAAAGGGTGGCGTAGCTCGATTTCCTGGGTGCCGCCAAGCCCGCTTTGAAAGACTCGGGCCTTGTCCCGAAATAGGGTTTAGGGTTTTGGGTTTAGGGTTTAGGGTTTCCCTTGGGTCATCTTGATGTGTTTTTCTGCATGTTTGGGCTCAAGAGGCTAGGACCCGAAGTAGGCCCTTATTTCCTTCTTTTAGGGTTGGGCTTCCCTTCTAATCCCCTTGAGAAACCGAAAAGGGTACCCTTTTTGTAGTCGGTCTGATCTAGGAATACTGGAATACTTCTGTGAGGGTTTGCATGGTCAGCCAAGATCTTCCTCAGCTAGGCAGCTTCCACAAGCACTAGCACCCAATGCCCTGGCCCAACCCAAACCCTAAACTCTAAACCCTCCTCCACAAGATCTCGCTCTGCACGGTTCCCCTAGTAGGCTCCAGGGGCTCTTACACCAGGGTTTTGGGGCTCAAAGACTCAAAAACTCAAAGACTCAAAGACTCGAAGACTCAAAGACTCGAAGACTCAAAGACCAAGGGGCTATGCAAGATACTTGCGGCATGCTTGAGCCTAAGGGTTCAGGCTTTCGGGCCTTGTCCGTCTTAGGACCGTAAAAGATGAGGGCGTTTTCTTACACATTTCGGTGTTATATGGTACTTATGATTCTTGATATTTCTAGCTTGGCGGCTCCCCACTGAAAGGCCCTACAAGCCAAGGCGCTTGCGGCAGGTACGCGCAAGGCATTCTAAAGACTCCGCTGCTTCCGGGGGTCGAGGACCTAAGCAATGGTCACCCATGAACCTCCCGAACCTCAATGACCTCCTAAACACTAAACCCTAAACCCCAAACCCTAAACCCTAAACCCTAAGCCCTACAAGCCTCTAGGGCCTGCCGGGGGCTTCGTGAGGTTAGGTCATGGGCCAGGTTTCAGAGCTTTAAAGCTCAGGCCTTCCGCCAGACCCCTAAACTTCCCCCTAAACTTTTGAAACCCTATGAACCCGATAAACCCGATAAACCCTGTAATCCCTGCAACCCCTGTAGTCCCTACAAGCCCTATAAACACTAGAAAGCCTGAACCTATAATCCCTATAATCCCTATAATCCCTATAGTCCCGATAATCCCTATATTCCCAAATCCCCTATAATCCCTACAAACCCTATAAACCCTAAACCTTCCCAGATAGAGGGTGTATGGGGGTATCTCCTCGGTCCTCGGGACCGGCATCAGGATTCGATCCGGCGAGAAGAAAAGAAGTAGCGCCATGTTTGGGTTTCGGGTTTAGGGTTTAGGGTTTAGGGTTTAGGGTTTAGGGTTTAGGGTTTAGGGTCCAGGGTTTAGGGCCTTTAGGGGTTAGGGTTCAGGGTTTAGGGTTTGAAAAACGGCTTAATGAGAGAGCTGCAGTCCGAGCCAAGGGTGAGGGGTTCAGGGCTTAGCTCCTCTAGTCACGCAACTCCTTACTCAACTAGAGTCCCGGCCCCGACCTGAACCCTAAACCCTAAAGCCTAAACCCTAAACCCCCAAGACTTTAGTCCCCCGCCCTTTACCTCCGGACATGGCAAGTGAAACCCAAGCACCTACTACTTGGACCGGAATAAGTGCGAATAGTGTTCCCTTATGGTCCCCATATAAATCTGCTGCAATCACCCTAAACCCTAAACCCTTAACCCTAAACCCTAAACCCTAAACCCTAAACCCTATAGTGCCAGAGTAGACTTGGGTGAGCGCGGGCTCCCGAGGCTCCTGGTTTAGGATGCCGGGTGCTGTAGCTCCTGCTCTCCCGAGTCTATCTGGGGGAGGGCTCGGTTTAGGGTTTAGGGTTTAGGGTTTAGGGTTTAGGGTTTAGGGTTTAGGGTTTAGGGTTTAGGGTTTAGGCTAAACGTTGCAACATTAAACCCGAAGCGCGCAACGGCATCTTCCAAGCAAAGCCTTCACACCACAGCGATCCCCACCAGCCCTATTGGCCTGTCCTGACTCCCTGCGGCCTCTTAAAGCCTAAACCCGAAACCCGAATTAAACCCTAAACCTTAAAGCCTAGACCTAGACACCACTTTGGACACTCACCAGAAGCTGTCCAAGATCAAAACGCGCTGGGATTGCGAATTCCGGGCCTACCACCAAGACCCTGTGTAATGAAACCGATTCACTAAAACCTACGTATGATTCTTTAGTTACTACGATCGTTCTTATTGTCTCATTACGGTTATATTGTTATTGTAACATGGTTTTATGATGTGTGTGTGCTCTATTTTCTTTATAGGGTTAAATTTACTATATTGACATGTTATGATGCTGTTAGTACATCGAGATTTCTTGATGATGTTAGGGGTTGGTTAGATTATTTCTTAGAATAGCTATTGTATTCCCAAGATGATGAAGCCGCGTGTGGCACATCCTCTTTCGCTCGAGGAGTTTATATACCGGGTTTTACCTGGGCCTTTGTTGAGATCATTTTACATTTTTCTAATACTGAAACCCAATTAAACGAACAAACATGATCATGTTTAAATATCACCCCAACAATGGTGCAGCTACGGACTAATGGACCCTGGTAAACTAAAGCCTAAACCCTAAGCCCTAAACCCAAAACCCTAAACACACTAAACCCTAAACCCTAAACACTAAGCCCTAAGCCCTAAACCCTAAACCCTAAACCCTAAACCCTAAACCCTAAACCCTAAACCCTAAACCCTAAACCCTAAACCCTAAACCCTAAACCCTAAGCCCTAAGCCCTAAGCCCTAAACCCTAAACCCTAAACCGTTACCGCCGGGGGGGTCGGGGGGGGCGGCTTGGGGCGAGGCTGCGCCTAGCCGCGGCAGAGGTTCTCCGCGAAAGGCCGCCGGGGTCGGGGACATCCCAAACCCAAGCAGGGGCCCTAAACCCTAAACCCTAAACCCTAAACCCTAAACCCTAAACCCTAAACCCTAAACCCTAAACCCTAAACCCTAAACCCTAAACCCTAAACCCCACAGCACGAAGTACTATAGGCCATCGGGTAGTTTCCGAAAGTAGGGGTACCCTGTTTGAGGGGTCCTTTAAGGGGATTCTATTCCATTTGGGGTTGTCAAAGAAGGTAGGCATAATTTGTCGAGGGCAAGCCTATGGCTTGGGATGTTACACCTTATACTAACTGTCCTTAATGGGTATTATAGAACTCCTATGATAATCCCTTTTAAGGACTGTTAGTATAAGGGGGAACATCCCAACCCACAGGGATGTTCCCGGTTGTAGAGGTTGGGACCTTCAGGGCGTAGGGGACAGCAGCCTTTCGGAAGATACGAACCCTCTGATGCCAAGATGTTACCAAAGCCCACATGGGGGTGTCGACCCCAAACTGTAAGATTCCATTCAGAATAAGGACCCCAATAAGGTAGCCAAAACTCGGAAACCCACAAATCTTTCAATCCCCAAGCCCCATGCCTCGCGCACTACAACCCACCGGGGGGGTGGGGGTGGGGGGGAAGAACATGTCCGAATCTGAAGGAAGTCACTTAAGGGGGAGTGTTTGGGGGTCCCAAATGGAAGCCTTAAACCCGATGGACTCGATTCTTGGGGACGTGGGAATTCCGAGATCAGCGCGTTGGAGATATTTGTGGAGGTGGGCGGGGTGGGTGTGTTGCCTTTCGCAAACTCCCAACCATAAACCCTGAAACCCTAAACCCTAAACCCTAAACCCTAAACCCTAAGCCCTAAGCCCTAAAACGGAAACCCAAAAACACCGAAGATCAGACCTTAAACCCTCAACCCGAATTTAATCCTAAGCCATGCCGATACAGCAAGCACCCACACCCAAGAACCCTCAACCGTAGAACTCCTTCCATAAGCCCTAGACCCAGAGTCGCAGAAACTGCTTAAGAGAAAGAAACAAAGCCCTCGCGGTTTAAGGTTTAGGGTTTAGGGTTTAGGGTTTAGGGTTTAGGATTTAGGGCTTAGGGGACCCTAAATCGCAGAAGCTGCTATTAAGAGAAAGAAACGATCCCTTCTCCAATCCGAGCTTGGGTGGCTAGGATCCAAGACGCTCTGGACAAGAATCTGGCCGGTGTGCCCTGCCTGGGTTTAGGGTTTAGGGTTTAGGGTTTAGGGTTTAGGGTTTAGGGTTTAGGGTTTAGGGTTTAGGGTTTAGGGTTTAGGGTTTAGGGTTTAGGGTTTAGGGTTCAGGGTTTAGGGTTTAGGGTTTAGGGTCTTGAGCGTTCGAGCGTTCAAAGTTGAGGGCATGTGCAGTCGATGAACTAACTGCAGTGTGAATTTCATGGTTACTTGCAGGTGGGTGATAAGTTAATGGCAGGGGGAAACCCTAAACCCTAAACCCTAAACTCTAAACCCTAAACCCTAAACCCTAAACCCTAAACCCTAAACCCTAAACCCTCAAGGCCAGGATAAATAGAAATTGTAGGTGTTTCATTACGAGCAGCTCGTGCAATAATCCTTCATCCTTCACAGTGCAAAAATGTTAGCCAAACCCTTCAGCCAGCTCAGCCCACTCGCCAGCCCCAACGCCCCACCCCCACCCCCTCAGCCCCAGCCACCCCAGCCCCCCAGCCTCCAGCCCCTCCAGCCCCTCCAGGCCCTCCAGGCCCTCCAGCCCCCTCCAGCCCCCTCCAGCCCCTCCAGCCCCTCCCCGCCCCTCCAGCCCCTCCAGCCACTCCAGCCCCTCCAGCCCACGCCCCTCCAGCCCCAGCCCTCCAGCCCCTCCAGCCCCTCCAGCCCCTCCAGCCCTCCAGCCCCTCGCAGCCCCTCCTCCACCCCCACCCAGCCCCAGCCTCAGCCCCAGCCCCAGCCCCAGCCCCAGCCCCAGCCCCAGCCCCAGCCCCAGCCCTGAAAGTTTAAAAGGTAAGTTTAAAAAACAAAACCCCCCAAAACCCCCCAAAACCCCCCAAAACCCCGGACACAAACCCTTTACAATTTCTATAACCCTAAGCCCTAAGCCCTAAACCCTAAACCCTAAACCTGGGGTTTATGGCTTAGGTGCTGCAGCCTGGGGCGAGAAATGTAACTAGGGCAACTTTGGGTTGCTCCTTCCCAAGGTTTAGGGTTTAGGGTTTAGGGTTTTTATGGTCCCTTTCCTCCCTTAAAGGATTCTGATGTATGGGCCCTTAGTCTGCATAAGGGACCATGTAACTACAATAAGACTCTTGCTGCGTTACGGCTCTTTCAACAGCCCTTCACAGAACCACTGATGAACCAGCAAGAGGCAGGCGTTAGAGTGTGTTCACTGGTGGCAAGCCATGGTCTTTCTTCAAGAGCTTGCTTGGAGGTTCATGGGTACTTAGAAGTAGGGTTATGAGTACCCTCAACAAGGTTCTAATCAAAGCAGAAACCCTAAACCCTAAACCCTAAACCCCAAACCCTAAACCCTAAACCCTGGACCCCGAACCCTTCTTACAAGTGCCCCATGGACCTCCAAGTGTCCCTTTTGCAGCACTTCCTCCGGGGGGGTTGCGAGGCTGCCTTAGTAACCCCGCATTACAGGCCCACGCCTCAAAAAACCCTTTCTGGGGGTTTAGGGTTTAGGGTTTAGGGTTTAGGGTTTAGGGTTTAGGGTTTAGAACCCTGGGCCCTAAGCCCTGAACCCTACACCCTAAACCCATGATGCCAAGGAGAGGCAGCTTTCTCGCGATGATCTGGCCGGCAGAAAGCACGCGAAGTTCGAGGCGCGCCTGGTGCGCTGAGGGTGCTTGTATGGGTGTGGCGGCTGCACAGGGGTGCCCTTTTCCTTGCTGGATTGCGTTTTATGTTCTCTTTGGTAACCGGCCGTGTTGTGATCTAGTGATATAGTTCCGAGGATCTAGTGTGAGGGGGACGGGGAAATGTACAACACTAAACTCCGCAAACCCATGGGTTCTCGAAGGAGGGGCTCAGGGCGAAGGATTTGGGAGTTCTGAAAGCTTGCGAAGCTCACTGTGGAGCCATCTAGACGGTTTTTGTGATCTCAGACGAATTTTTCAACCTGAAGCCCTAAACCCTAAACCCCAAACCCTAAACCCTAAACCCTAAACCCTAAACCCCAAACCCTAAACCCTAAACCCCTCTAATCCCCAAGCCGAAACCCCAGACCAGCAGGCGAAGCTGCGGAGAGCCGCCGTCCGCTTGCTGCGAAACGAGAGGCTGGGTTTAGGGTCTAGGGTTTGGGGTTTAGGGTTTGGGGTTTAGGGCTTAGGGTTTAGGGTTTGGGGTTTGGGGTGTGGGGTTTAGGGTATAGGGTTCAGGGTTGCAATCTAATGTTCAGGGCATTAGGGTTTGGGGTTTTTGGGTTTAGAGCAGTAGGATTTGGGGCTTCTAGGGTTTTGTGGGTTTCGGGTTTAGGCTTTAGGTTTGTTGTTTTTGTTGTTTTTTGGGGTTTAGGGTTCAGGGTCATGCGTATCAGGGTTTACGGTTTTTGAGTTTAGGGTTTTGGGCATTAGGGTTTTGGGTTTAGGTTGTTTTCTGGGTTCTTAGAGTTTTTAGGGTTTAGGGTTCATTGTTTAAGTAGTCTGCGTTTGGTGTTTAGGGTTTCGGGGTTTCGAGCTTAGGGTATCAGGATTTTGAGGGCTAGGATTTAGGGGTATTGAGAGTTTCAGGGTTTGGGGCTTCAGGTTTATAGGGCTTGGGGTTGAGAGTGTGTCAGGCACAAGGGTTAGGGTCCAGGGCTTAGGCTTAAAGGGATTGAGGTACTTGGGTTTAGGGCTGCCTTGGGTTTAGAGCTTACTGCTTAGGGCTTGGGGTATGAAGGTTTTGGGGGTTTACGGTTTAGGAGATTCGGTTTTAGGGTATTAGGGTTTCGGGCTTCAGCTTAGGGCTTGGGGCTTAGGGTTTCGGGCATTTGGGTTTAGGGCTGAGGGCTTCGGGTTTTAGAAAATTAGGCTTTAGGGCTTAGGGTTTAGGATATGAGGGTTTTGGAGTTAAGGGTTTTTTTTGGTATAGGGTACTAGGGTTTTGGGGTTCAAAGGGCAGCGAAAATACAGCAATCTAAGAATCCTTTCAAAACAGGACATAGAATAATAGTTGAGGCGCCTTTTCCTTTTGCTAGGATTATGGGGTTTAGGGCTTAGGCCGTTAGGACTTGGTACACTTAGGGTGTAGAAGCATCTAGGGTCGTTAAGAATGAGAAGGCGATTAAGATAAGGCATCGTGGTAGTGTTTGGGGCCGAACCGGGTAGGCTAAAGAAGGACGTTGGTTTTTTTTTGGGCTTTTGAAGGTTTTTGGTACCATCAGGGGTTTGGTGGGAGGAGGTATTGCCGAGGTTTCATTTTTTTCCTGGAAAACCGCCTTCATCATCGGTACTTTCCCTCTTTACAAGTATATAGGTATTTGAGCCCCAAAACCAAGCCTAAGCTCTTACAGGGTATGTGTGTATATGTATGCAATGCATACTTGAATAGGAAGACTGTATATATATATATATGTATGTATACGTATATACATGTATGTATATATGTTCGTCGGCTTTAGGACTTCTGAGGCTGAGGATTGAGAAGCTTCAGTTCTGGGCTCAGGGTTCAGGATTTCGAGCGCGCGAAAAACAGATTTCAGTTTCGTAGGGCTGAGGGGTGAGGGTTCAGGGTTTAGGGCTCATCCGGCAGTGAGCGCAGTCGCGGCATTGTTGATCCAAGCGACGCGGAAGGAGCTGACGACCGCGACAAGCAAAAGCATGCACTGGATTTATCTGGCGTTGACGCCTTCAAGGGCTGGCGTCCAGTGGACCGGGGCGGTGAAGGCGACTGCGGCTACAGGGCGATTGCACAGGCACAGGCTCCTCAATGGCGCAGATAATGAACAAATGAGGAAGATGAGGCCTGAAAGCGAAGCTGCCTGGCCGCGGGCCTAAGTTGCTCAGTATGTTCAGCTGCACGGCACGAGACAACTTCATCTTCTATCAGAAGCGCAGCTGCAGCTTTCAAGTACGAACGATGATGACCTTCTCGGAACATGTAGTTCGAACCTTCACAAGCGACATACTCAGCACACTCACCCTAAGCCCTAAACCCTAAACCCGAAACCCTAAGCCCTAAGCCCTAAGCCCTAAACCGCTTCACGCCCGCCGTGCTTTGAGGCCTCTCCTGGAAGATGAGCTGGCGTTCACCGAGGAGCAGTGCAGCTTGGCATCAGCATGTATTTGCAGTGGCCGACGGGGAACCCCGTGAGGGACATTGGTTCGAACATTATTACTGTTACTATTTGCTTCAGAATCCCCCAGAAAGTATTCTCTCATAAGGGTAATATAAGTAAGGATTATTGTCTGAATTTGTTGTGGGTTCTTAAGCAATGGTAGATTATGGCTGCTTGCCATCGCATATTTGATCCTACACATACACACGTTGCTACTCCGCCCTCGCGCCTTGAACAAAAGATGGTTGTTTCATTGCACGCCCCCCAATAGCGACCTTAGTAGCCCAGTGGTACCCTTTACCCTTTTTTTTGTTTATGGGTTCCCTTCTGAAGTAACCAACCCAAAAAAGGGTGCCCTTATTGTACTATGGTTACTGGGCTGCGACATCAATTCCATTAGACCTGGCCAACTGCAAGGTGAACGTTTAAATGGTCACTTCTCTACAAAGAGGGGCCCCCTTACTGTACTAACTGTAGTTAAGGGACAAATAACTTACAACCTAAATTTAGGATCCTTATAACCCAATTTAGGGTTCTTATAACTCTACTTATAACTAGGGGGGCCCCTCCTTGTACATTATTGTCCTTTAGGCGTTGCTATTACAAGGCGACCCCGAATATTTAGGGTACGCACGAAAAATGACCTGTTGTTTTAAGGAACTGACTAAATAGCCAAGTGCATTCACACCTTCATGCTTTTGCAGGAAATTTCTCGGCAAGCCACTGGTGGTCTGGTGAAATGCAAGCGGTGATAATCCTTGGCTCCTACAGTGTCCGTTTCGTTTTCTTTTCACACTGACCTCTCCCCCAAAACAAACAGCATCTCAAAAATCCTGCATCAATCCCAAATTCCAAATGAACCCCTGCATCCCGCAACACAATCCCCAAACAAAAACTCGCAAAACCCTAAACCGTGAACCCCACAAATAATCCCTGCACCCTAAACCTGAACCCCAGAAAGTCCTTAAAACCTAAACCCTGAACCTCACAAGTCACGAAAATCTAAAACGTGGACCCCACAAGTCCCTAAAATCTAGCACCTATAGCTCCCCCCGCTTGACATGCCCAAGGTTCATCATTGCGCACCCAACTGGAGGCATGTGAAGTAGGTGTGGGTTATACTTGAGGTGTCCTTTTGATTTTCTCAAGACCCTAAATCCTCAACCAGGGCTTAGGGTTGAGTGCATAGGGCTCCACTCAGGGATTTTGTGCGTGTTTCTCGGGGATGTCCTTCTGGGAGTACCCTGCTTCTTGTGGCTGCTTTCTCTCGGGGGTGCGCAGCTGGCGCCGCTTTCTCGTGCCATGATTCGATCACACGGGTCACCCGTTCTAGGGTTTTGGGTTTAGGGTGAAGTGGTTTGGGCTTTGGCCTAAGGCGCAGATCACACTACACCAGGATGCTCAGTAGTTCGAGTGCCTTACAAACTTCTTTTACGCCAAAATACAAAGGCACGTTTTTCTTAGAGGTAACAGGACAACCTGTAGTTTGCTGGGTGATCGGATTGACCTCGCAGGGTCCAGAATTTTCAGAACTGTGTGTGCGTGTGGGTGTTAGGGCTTATAGGGTGTAGAGCTTAGCCTCTGGTGCTTTAGAGCTGTTAAGCCTGAGGGTTTTTGGGCAAGAGCAGAAAGGCCATTGGAATGTAGGGTTCTGCCGCTCTGGCCATATGCAGCGTCCGCCCGTGCTCGAGTTATCCCCCGCTTTGTCTTGCCAGGAGTCACAGCTGTGAGCCATGCGGCATGCTGAAAAGAATAGGGGAGTGCTGCACCGGCAGGGGTTTAGGGTTTCGGGCTTAGGGTTTTAGGGCTTAGGGCTTTGCAGACCGTCCGCAATTCGCCTTGCCCTTGATTGGGTTTACGGTTAGGCTTGTGGGTTTTAGTGTCTAGGCTTTACAGCCTTAGGGCTTAGGACGTCGACAGAGTTTAGCACTTGTTGTTGGGCTTTGCCTCCTTTGGCAGAACGAAGAAAGCTTCATCAAGACTCTGACCCGAAATACTGTAAACCCTAACACCCTAACACCCTAAGCCGAGCCAAATTCCTAAACCCGAAACCCTAAACCCTATACCCTATAAACCCTAACACATCCCAACACCCTGAAGCCCCTGAATCCCTTGTGTTCGGGTCCACGGGTTTCGTGTTTGGAGTTTGGGGTCCTAATCTGCGTAAACTCTAAACCACAAAACTCCCCAACCTCAATACACCCGAAGCCCTGAAGCCTTTTCTCTGCACCACCGAGAACCCACTCATAATTTACTCTTTACACCCTGAGCCCTGAACCCCAAAGCTCTACCTAGAGTAGCCTACTTTAAAACGGCTATCCTTCCAAAAGTAGACTCAGACCCTATATCCCGAATCCCTGCACACTGAACCCTAAACGCGTCCGCCCTTCTAAAGGGGAAGACGTACAACATGAGGGCTTCCGAAAACAGGGGTACCCTTTTTGGGGGGATCCCTTTAAGGGCTGGGGCTGGGGTACAAAAGGGGTACCCCTACACCCTAAACCCTGCCAGCAACTAGTTGTAAACCTCCCTTCTGTAAAGGTATATAAGTTCAGTTCTAGACTTCCCACGCCCTCGAAGCTCAAAGAGCGGTTCAGGGTTCAGGGTTTAGGGTCTAGAGTTAAGCTTAAGGGCTTACAAGGTTTAGGGTTTTAGGGTTTAGGGTTTAGGGTTTAGGGTTTAGGGTTTAGGGTTTGAGGGTCTCTTTTCGACCAGAGGACCAAGACCTCATCGGCACTGCATCCTATGACGGCTATATCAAGGCTGTCCTGTGGGTTTAGGGCCTGGGTTTAGGGTTTAGGTTTTAGGGTTTAGGGTTTGGGGTTTGGGGTTTGGGGTTTGGGGTTTAGGGTTTAGGGGTTTAGGGCCCTGGGGTCTGCCAGGAAATTTGAACCCTTAACCCTTCGCCGGCTAGACTTGATCGGGTGTGTGGTGAGGGGTCAGGAAATTGTGACTTTAGGGGTTTAGGGTCTTTTGAGCTTGGCGGGTTCGATGTTAATAGCTGACCACGCGAGAGGGGTTGTGGGGGCGCCGGGGGTACTGGATACTCAATTCTGGACAATGATTTTGGGCGTTGCTTTGGGTCTTTGGGGATTTTGGCTCATGTTCTCCTCCCCCTGGCAGTTGTGGCGCATCTCCACACACGAGAGCGTGCGCGAGATGTACGCCGGCAAGGATCCGGCCGGGGTCATGTCTTTGGGGTCAAGGGGCCTGAACCCCCCGAATGCCTCTGCCCTGCATCCTAACCTCTTTGGAGCTGAAGTCCGCGACGCAGTTGCCACAGAGGACTCCGAAAAGCGTAGCCTTCAGAACTGTTCTGAAGCCCTACACCCCAAAGCCGTGTTTGGGCTTCTTGGATGCTTTCCTTTAGAGACTTCAGATACGTTCCCAAAGTGAGGGTAGGCCTAGTATGTGCCCCAAACACTCCCATCCTTATGATACGACCCCCAACCCTAAACCCTAAACCCTCCAAAAGGGCTCTCCTAGTTTTGGAAACCACCATATAACAACTCATGGATGGGAAGGAATGTAGGTTATATATAGATTCGATTTAGGCTTCTAGGGTTTAGGGTCGGTTATGGAACTCGGTCTTGAGGGTTTAGCGTTTATTTTGTTTCAGGGCATTAAGGCTCCGAGGCAAGTCTCCGTGGTACTTAGGGTTTAGGGTTTAGGGTTTAGGGTTTAGGGTTTAGGGTTTTTTTTTGAGGATCAGCTCCTGTATGGCTTGGCCTTTAGCCCCCACTCGGCCAAAGTCTGCGCCGCCGGGTGGCCCAGACAGTGAACTCCACTGAGCCCTAAACTACACGTGGACCCTAAACCCGAAACCGTCAACCCTAAACTCTGAACCCCAAATCCTCAACCCTAAACCCTAAACCCCAAACCCTAAACCCCAAACCCTAAACCCTAAATCCTAAACCCTAAACCCCAAACCCTAAACCCTAAACCCTAAACCATACGACAGGACGTGCCTAAAGCTTCTCTGACACTTTGCAGGAGTGGGGCTGGTGCCTTTGCCTTTCATGTGACAGGGGTACTGGAGGGACATTCCCTAAGCCCCTAAACCCCTAAACCCCTAAACCCCTAAACCCCTAAACCCCCTAAACCCCCTAAACCCCTAAACCCCCTAAACCCCTAAACCCCTAAACCCCTAACCCTAAACCCTAAACCGATGACCCTAAGGCTCCACATGTCCCAACCTCAAGCCTCGGCCTTTGGGAGCTCGGGCCTGATTTTTTTGGGTTTGGGGTTTAGGGTTTAGGGTTTAGGGTTTAGGGTTTAGGGTTTAGGTTTTAGGGATTAAACCGGGACTTGGGCGTTGTATGGTTTAGGGTTCAAGTGTTTTTTGGAATGGGGAGTACTGCAACAATCGAGCGCCCATTGGCCCATTGACGGAAAAGGCATTGACGCTTCGCGGATCAGAATCATAAGGTTGGAGCTTGGCGTGTTCAAACTTGTGTGCTGAACTTGTAACCTTGAGCCAGTTTGGTGAAGCCTAAACCCCAAACCCTAAGTCCCAAACTCGAAACCCTAACCCCGAACCCCAAACCCGAAACCCTAAACCCCAAACCCCAAACCCTAAACCCTAAACCCTCACGAACCCATGGTTCAACCTCAGCTGCCTCGAGCGGCAGCGTGAGGTGAGTAGCACGGGCCTTCTCATCATCTGGAAGGTGGATACTGGCGAAACCCTGGTGAGGCGGCCGGGGTTTCGGGTCCAGGAATTCCTTGGAGCTTTTGGGAATAATGTGTATATATTTTTTTGGGGGGGGTACTACAATTCTTAAGAAGCACAAAAGGATGTGATTTTTGCTAGGGTTCCAAGATCAGAATATATTCGCGAAGATTGAAGACGTAGATGTGGAGCTTGAGGTAAAGGTAGCTGGCCCCGTGTAGTCTCTAAGGTTTAGGGGTTGTAGGTTGGGAGGGTTTTGGAGTTATAGGTTGGGATGTTCCCTCTTATACTAACAGTCTTATAGTAAGGATTGAAATAGGGGGTACTATAATACCTACTAAGGACTGGCAGTATCAGGGGGAACATGCGTAGGGGTTTGGGGTTTCGGTGTTGAATCTCCTGCCTTACAGTAGCTTGACTTTCCTTGTAAGAAAAGCACCTCCCTCGTGGAACCCCTAAATCGCCAGAGCCCCACTCCCACATTTGGAGGGCTACCACCCAGCTGGCATGATGTGGGGAAGCCGCCCTTTAAACCCGAAGCCCCAGACTAAACCATAAGCCCCAAGACTAGCACAAGAAACTCACCAACACTAACCCCAAACCCTAAAGACCAAACCCTGAACTCAACCCTAAATGGCCCCTTATGCTACCAACGTTATAAATAAACACGCAACGAAAAGACCGCGTCCAAGAGTCTTCGTATTGGCCAGGCAGCAGCTCCACACCGGCCAGGTGGCACAACTCTTCCATCCTCCACCTCTCCCCAGGGTTTAGGGGTTTAGGGCTTTTTTAGGGTTTAGGCATTAAGGGGTTTAGGGGTTTAGGGTTTATGGTGTAGGGGTTTAGGGGTTTAGGGTTTAGGGGCTTAGGGGTTTGGGGGTTTAGGGTTTGGGGACTTAGGGGTTTAGGGGGCCTAGGGGTTTTGGGATTTAGGGGCGTAGGGATTTTGGGTTTTAGGGGCTTTCTATCCTCCACCTCCCCCCCCCAGGTTTTTGGGACTTAGGTTCTGTTTTGGGATTTAGGGGATTAGGGGCTTGAGGGCTTAGGGATTGAGGGGCTTAGGGGTTTAGGGGTTTAGGGGCTTTCAATCCTCAACATCTCCGAAGGGTTTTGTGGTTTAGGGGTTTTGGGACTTGTACGTGCTTAGGGGTTCAGGATCTTTTGGAGCTTTTCCTTCTCATGGGAGCTTTACAGTCGGTCAATAACTGAGAGCCCAATGTGCGCAGCAAGCACAGTTCAAGAACTAAGCATCGCAAAGCTAGCTCAAAAGGTACGCTATATGTTTCCTTCTTGTAAGGTACAGGGTTACCCCTAAACCCGAACCATCAAACTCCCTACTCTAAGCCCTAGAAGAAGTTCTCCCTAAACCCGAAAAACCCTAGACACTCAACCCATGGAGCTCTAAAGCAGCCCTTTCCCTTTCTGCTTCTCCCTCAAGCACGAGGCAAAGCAATCGGGCAGGTTGCAAGGAGACCGAGGCGTCGACATATCACATGGCAAGACCTGGTCTGGAACTTACGACAATAATTATTCATCAACAAATGGGAGTGGATACGTACGTATTTCTGGAGGTGAAACGCCAGAAGATGGCTTGGAGCCCTGTTCCGGCACAAGCGCTGCTAAACATCACTGCAAGTATACTCCCGTTCGTGTCCGAGGTAAGCGGACCCCACCAGCCGGCGGAGCCACCCTCGGTGAGAAGCTCATAACACAGGTAAGAAAACCAACAGCAAATTTATTGTGACGCCGAGGCTCACCTCTTTCCACACTACTTCTCACCCCAAAAAAGCAAAATATGTAAATACATAAGTTACAAACTTGGTACCCTTTACCCTTTTTTTGTATTGTGGGTTCCCTTATGCAGTAGCCAACCAAAAAAATGGGAATCCTTGCTATAGGCTACCAAGAAGCAAGAAAGCCATGATTGCGCTTTTCTTCAATGAAACGTACAGGCCTCTCCAGCTTAGGACTTTGTAGCTTTCGTGCATGGGTTCCATTGAAGGAACTTTGCCCAGGGCCTGACAGTTCCCTCATTCCAGTATTTGTTGTTTGTATCTA